ATCAAAACTAGGTCTGTAGACATGCTAGGCAAGTGTGCACTGAAGTAAAACCTCAGCCCACAGAACATTAAAGTCTCTAAGATATCCAGCCCTGGGAAAACCCCATCCTAAGAACTATTCCCAGGCTCATGGCCACAGGACTATAAGAGCTATCTGTACCCAGATTCTCCCCTTAAGTACTGGACATGGTCCAATAGGATTTGCATTGATGTGCAGAGTATTGGGGAAAGGTGGGCAGCAGGTCATTGTGTTTATTTAAAATCAAAATCCATGTGACTAATGCCATTGAATATTCATCTCATAAATTTGACTGAACAAGAGTAGCAATTTCATAAAAATATTTTTTAGAAACTAGAAACAAAACCAATTTCTTATTTTACATTTCATTACACTTTCCTTACAGACTATGACTAGAAACAAAAGATAACCTGGATAATCAAGCACGTAAAATACTATTACAGAGTTTTCATTAATTACTATTAATTGTAGTTTCTAATAACTACCAATTATGTCTTCTATGAAAGTGATTTCATCACAGTCTACCAATATGATTAAATAATGATCAGTCACAGGAGACCATAACCAGAGTCCAACAAAACACTGGGTTAACAGAATCCCATGGACATCAGCTTTGAGGCTGTGCTACATACACAGCAAAGTTCCCAAGGATTTCAGAGGTTGATCAAAGTAGCAGTTTAGAAAAGAAACACAAAATGTTTTCCTGATAGAACAAATGAGAAATCAATGGCTGCAAGACCCACAACAGTGACATAATCATCAACCACCCACATGGGAAATGGCAGGGCTGGAACCATAACAGGAGTGCAAAGAACTGCAGGCAGGTCAGAGCTCTGTGGAGAATGTGATAATGGGGGTCAGGTAGACAAGACAGAGCCAAGCAAAGGACCCCTGGGACTCCAGGGTCACCCTGGTGTAGAATCATGTCACCATTTAGATAAACTGGCTCATACTGCGGGCAAGGTATGCATAAATAAGCTCAGTATCAAACATCTACAAGAGTACAATGGCAACTTTCCTAGAAACAAAACGACTCTACAACTTAGACACCTGCGATGAACATTTTGGTGGCTATTGACACACAGGTTGTCACTAAAACCAAGAGTAGGAAGATGTCACCCCCCCAAAAAAAAGTGTAGAATAAGAAAAACAATTAGAATAGAATCTACTTAAGTGATTAAGAATGTGTACACAACAAGAGTAAGGTAAAATGAAATGATTAAAGGGATGAGCTTGGAATCTGACAAATGTGGCCTGAAATTCTGTCTTTCAACCATTACCTGTTTGAACCAAGGTGAAGTCAATAATCCCTCTAAGCCTTCACTGCCTCTGCTATAAAAGTGAAGATACCATATATATATATATATATTTCCTCTACCAGTTACTAAAAGTTCATGACTGACACCAGTGTAACAGTACTCACTAAATAGTACAAAATTAACCAGGTAGGTTATCTCAGCAGTCTTAAAGACTGAGGCAGGAACATCTATCACAAGTTCAAGCTCAGCCTAGGCAATTTAGAAATCACTCAGCAAGACCATGCCTCAAAATAAAATGGACTGGAGATGCCAGGGGCAGTGATCTATATCTGTAACCCCAGCACTCAAGCTGAGGCAGGAGGAATGCTGAGAGTTCAAAGCCAACCTGACCTACATAGTGGGGCCCCATCTCAAAAAAAGAAAAACACTACAAAAACAGGGTGTGGGGAAAGATGCTGAAGATGTAGCTCAGTGGGAAGGCCCTCAGTTGAATCTTCAATATCAAAAAATAAAATAAAAATTCATATGGCACACAGCAGTACACTGAAAGGCAGGAGTTGAGCATGTTGTATCCTATTAAATAACAGCAAAGAAAGGCCTGCCTGATAGCTCAGGGGACTAAAGCGCCTCCTTAGGCAGAGAGCAGCAGGCCAGGGGTTCAATCCCTGGTGTGCCCCGCCAGCCCTGCAGGCCCCTGCCCCTGTGGCATGCTGGGATAGCAATTGACTCTGGGCATGGTGACATTCACCTGTAATCCCAGCACTTGGGAGGCTGAAAATGGGAGGATTACCATGGAATCCAATCTACGTAGTGAGACCTTGTAGACCCTGTACTAAATACATAAAATGGTAATAATAATAAAGAAAATATATCTTTAGCTTTACACAACTGTGCGGCTAAGGAGGGACAGCCTGTGTAGTTCACACATTACTTCTGTAATCTATTCACTAAAGGCCCTCCTTCTCCCCAACAACAAAAGCATGCATGTGTCCTCACTTTCATCCTGAAAATTCCTCTACAACTTGCTATGGAACTGGTTTTTGTTTTTTTTTTGTTTTTTTTTCTTTTTTGTTTTAAACAATTTATTTAACTGAAATGGACTTACATTTGTTTCTGAAGTGACTTCCATTTATTTTGACACATCTTTTCCCCATGATGATTTACAGGATCTTCAAGTCAATATAAATATTTTATAAATATTTGAATTTTTGGGTATATACCTGCACAATACCTCAGCAATATCTTTCAGCAAGAATATACTGAAGAGTAAAGACTGGACACAATTATTAGGTACAGTGAAAATCTGCTGCAAATATTTCTGAGGTAAGAAGGTACCACATACCTGTTCAACTAAGAAAACCACACTTACAACACAGGATGATTTTATTTTTACGTAGGACCTAGAACAGTTAAGCTCCCAATTAGGTACTGAATGGCAGAGTAACACCTCCAGTTTATGTCATTAATTCATAGGGAACAGGTTCCAACAACTCAGGTTCCGTTCCATTGGTCCTCACAAAGTGTGCTTTTCTGGGAGGGGCAGGCTGGCACTTCAGTTGAACCCAGGTACCTTTCTCTTTGGCTTCCTTCTTTTTCTGATCATTTTTCTTGACATCACAACTTTTTGAGTGTTTAATATGCTCAATACGCACATTAATCCTCTTGGCAAGTATCTTGCCCTTAACTTGCTTGTTCACAACAATGCAAGAGCATGCTGGGTAACATTGTAGACTCTTCCCATTTTGCACAGTACCCATTCCCTTGGTGTCTACAATATCACCCTTTTGTAGACTCGCATGTATGTAGCAAAGGAACAACCCCATGTGTTCTAAAAGGCCTGGAAAACATACCGGGTTCCCCTCCTCTTGCCCTTCGTTAGTCATTTTAGCAAATTACTGGAAGATGGTGGTTCCCTGGAACTGGTTTTGGTTTGGAAGTTTTGTTGTTTTCTCCAGTGCTGGGGATGCAATCCAGGGCCTCACTCATGCTAGGCAGTGCTCTAACACTGATCTATAACCACAGCCCTTAGCTTGGGAATTCTGATAATCTCACTTTGGTAGATAAGAAAGTCAAACAGCAAGATGTTCAATACACAGAGCAAACATTGTTTTATAAAAGCCAAAGCCACAGTAAACCCATGCTTGACAGTCACTGGTTTCTAATTTATTACACTTTATTCTTCTAAAAGACACTAGGCCAT